TATCGTAAGCTCTACTGAAATCCACTTTGAAACATCCCCTTTAAGTCCTTGCTTCCTCCAAAAATCAATTCCTTCATTAGCTAAATATGCACAGTCCAACAATTGTCTACCCGGAATAAAGCGAACTGAGACGGACTAATGATATCCTTGATACAAGAAATAAGTCTTTTTGATAGAACTTTTGAGAGGATTTTGTACAAGCTGCCCACAAGACTAATGGGTCTATAATCTTCAATGCTCTCGGGAGTACCTTTCTTAGGAATCAAGGTTATAAACGCATGATTGACTCCATGCTCCCATGACTTACCTTGATAGAAATCAGAGAAAAACTCCATGATCTTCTCCTTAAGATTTTCCCAATATTTCTTATAAAAACCCATGGTAAAACCATCCGGGCCAGGGGCTTTTGCACTATCCGAAGAAGAGATTACTTGCCACACTTCTTGCTCAGAGAATTCCACCTCCAAAGATGTACTCTGAATTGCAGAAAGTTGTGCAAAATCCATATTTTGGTACTCAACCTCCATTGCTGAATTAGTGTTGTAAGCCTTCTTGAAGAAATTGAACACACTGCTTCTAATTTTTCCTGAGTCCGAGATAAATTCTCCCTTAATTTTCAATGAATGAATAGTGTTGATCCTGTTTCTTGTCAAAGCACTCAAGTGAAAGAACCTCGTATTTCTGTCCCCATCCTTGATCCACCTACTCCTGGACTTCTGACACCAAATGCTCTCCTCATTCCTTAATAGCCTCCACAACTCCTTTTTACATTCTACCATCTGATCCCACTCCCCTTTGGACAAGATTCCACCTTGCGACTTCCTTTCCCAATTCTCTATCTTCCCTTCAAGAACCGAAATGGAGTCTGACAGCCCAACATTGCTGATTCCAGGCCAACTTCTAATATGGTTTTTAGCGTTCTGAAGCATTCTGAAAATTCCCCCAAAATTACTCTTATTCTTCTCAACTGCCACAAGATTAACCACAAAATCATCAAAGCCTTGCTCCTGTAAAAGATAATTGAAGAATCTAAAAGGTTTTGGGCCCCAATTTATACAAACATCTTCCAGCAAAACCGGTTTATGATCAGACATAGAGATCGAAAGAAGTCTCTGTGAAATCTTAGGAAAACAGTTGAGAAAACTGTCACTTAACAAGAACCGATCAAGCCTAACCCATGTTGAATCTTCTCTAAAACTACTCCATGTAAAAGACCCTCCTGACATGGGCAGATCAATGAGCTTAGCTCTCTGCACAAATGTTCTGAAAATATTTAAAGTATGCCAGTTCTGAGCTTTCCCTAGCTTTTCTTCTGGATCAATATACGCATTAAAATCCCCCCTATACAAACTGGTAAATTCAACGAAACTACAAAACACAACTCCCCAAAAAAATCCTCCTTTTCGTCTTCAATAGCCGGGCCGTATAAATACGAACTTTTTTTGATCATTCAAAAAATACCCCACCAATGCCAAAAACCTGCTGTGTACATGCTGATTGGTGACTTTGAACATATTCTCATTCCACATACTAATCAAACCACCCTTAGACCCCTGTGCTGGAAACAACTTCACTCCCTTCAACATACTCCCTCCTAACCTCCTTAGAATATACTCCTTACAATGTTCTAGCTTGGATTCGTGAATAAACACCAGAACTGGTTTGACCTTCTTTACAAGCCTAGCGACAGAAGCGATCTTCTCCCTCCTCCCTAAACCTCTAATGTTCCACGAAAGAATTCTTAAATTCTGCATACAAATGTATCACTCCCAAACGCCCCAATCAAACCCATCCAACCGAAAAACCTAACCATCATATCCATCATCCTTTACAACCTCCGAACCATTCTAAAAGCAAATAATCTTTTCAATAAATTTCTCCTTCCCATCCTTGAAAGAGATGCCTAACATCAGACATACTTCCCAAATGGCCATAGCTTCCTCCACCAGCTTAGAAAAAAGAGGAGAGTAGGCTGTGTGAATATTAACCAACTCCAAGGCTTGATAAATTAAACCTCTTCTATTCTTTCTGCGAACTCTTCCTAACTTTGGAGATGAAAACACATCAGGTGCCGCACACTCTGACACTACTGCCGACGGCTGTTGTAATATTCTGCAATCTGATCCCTTCTGTTCTTGAATCGTATTAGCCTCTGAACCAATAAAATCAGCTTCTTTACACGAATTTAGCCATATTTTCTTGTTCCTCGACCTTTTATAAACTCTAGCATATTGACCTCTTTTCTTTCTCCCATCCTACGTTGATCGAATAGTCATACAAGCAGACACAGGAAATCCCCTCTTCCACCTCTTAACACTCTTTACACTTACCTCCTTGTTTTCCTCCTGCACCAATTGACTTACCACTTCCATCTCCATTCTATTTTCTTCGACTACCTGGACACCCTCACCTGCTTTTCCAATTAAATCGCAGCTATCCACCTCTACTAAATCATGAAGAGACTGAAACTTGTTATTCTCTCCTACATCATCCCACCTCACCTTAACCGCCGGCCCAGCAGGAATAATTTTAGTAACTGGTGAAAAGGAATCCCAGTTTGAATCAGATTGGGCTGAGCAGCTCGGATCCACCACTGCTCTCAGCCCAAGACCCGCATATTCCATATTAAAAACTGGCTCCACTTCACATTCCAGATTCCCTGACAGCCCATCACTATTGGATTTCGTGTGGGACGTCTTTTCAGGGAACTGTTCCCCACCTTCCTTAATCCCCCCACTTTCTAAATTTCTTTGTCTCCACGTGTTCCCCTCTGTCCCCACTACCACTGCTGACAATCCCCGAATGCCTACTTCCTTCCCTGAACTACTACCATCATCAGACCTCTTCTGCAACTTTTCTCCGATTATAGCCGGGGGTGTATAATAACTTCCCCCCAAAGTAATTTTGACCTTAAAAGATCTTCCATAAGACCATACAATAATGGATTCTTGAATGTCATAAGGACTTGCAACCCTCATCTATAGTCTCGCCGATGAGAGATCCTCTTTATTTCTGGTCTCATCCAATATACAAACAAGGTCTCCCCACCTTCCTGCTAATCTTTCCAGGAATAGTTCATTCCAGCAAAGAAGTGGTAGCCATACTAACTCTACCAAACCATACGCCATTGGAACACCTTCATCACTTAACACTGGAGATAACCATTGAAACCAGGAAAACATTTTGTCACGGTACTCCGACCACGCCTTACCGAAATCTTCATTTGACTTGAACATAACAATGACAACATTCCCTACGAAACCCCAACTTACTATCTTTACCTGAAATCCCTCCTTTACGAATGCCTCCTTCACCATGTCCAGCTGCATGGAATATTTGACTACCCCTGTTAATGAATACTTCACCCAACCATAATCATCCGTAGGAATGTGCATATCCCATACATTCCTAACTCCATTTGCTTTCACAGACTGACCTCCTTCTCTCTCCACTAGTTCAAACTCCATGTTCTTCGCGCTATCCCCCTTCAGCACTTCCTCGTACGATCTGCCATTCCTTAGACTACTCGCTCTTTCCGTTTGCATCTGTTGCCTACCTTTGACCCCTGTGCCTGATTTGATACCTTCCGGTTGACGTTTATACCCCACTACCTCTTCTCCTATTTTTCTTGTACTTTGCCACCCCCACTGTCACTCGCTTCCCATCAATCAGAGTTCCACATTCTGAACTGCTCTATTGCAACTTTCCTCTAACGCAAATTGCACAAAAGCAAACGTGGACGATTTGTAGTTCGGTTTAAAAATAAAATTTGGAATATAAACCTTGACTATTCTGCCATACTGGATGAAAATCTCTCTAAAGCTCACTTCTAGAAACTCTCTTACTAAGGTTGTCAACAAAGACAGTCCATTCCTCATCTGAGGAGGGACTCCCATATGCACTCGCTCTGTTTCTCTCTCTAACTATCTCTCTCATTAAAAAAAATCTCTTTTGGTCTGTAATCTTCAATACCTTCAGGATTTAGTTTTTTAGGAATCAAAGTAATGAAAGCATGATTGACCCCATGTTCCCAACTCCTCCCTCTGTGAAAGTCATCCACAAACTTCATTAAATGATCCTTCAGTACAAGCCAGAATTTTTTTAAAAAACCCATCATGAAACCGTCTGGACCCGGGGCTTTGGAACTGTCCGAATGAAACACTGCTTCCCAAACTTCCTGTTCTGAAAATTGTACCTCAAGTCCATTCTTCTGCTCCTCTGATAATGTCATAAAATTAAGATTAATATCCTCTACCTCTAGCGTATCTTTTGAACTGTAATTCTCCTTAAAATACTCAAAGACAGTTTTTCAGCTTATCCGGATCAGAATTTCTTCATCAGCCACTCTCAAAGCCGAAATTGAATTCATTCTATTTCTATTCATTGTTGTTAAATGGAAAAACTTTGTATTCCTATCCTCTTCCTTGATTCACTTCAGTCTTGATCTTTGTAACCAAATACTCTCTTCCCTCCTGTGCAACTTCCACAATTCGTTTCTGGACAGAATCAACAAATCCCTTTCTTGAATGGAAATCCCTCCTTGTAACTTCAATTCCAGACCATTTATCTTGCCTTCTAGTTGAGAAATTTCTTCAGAAATCTCCTTTTGACTCGTAAATGGCCTATCCCTGATCTTCTGTTTTGTTCCTTGAAGTAAAGAAAATATACCCCATCGACCATTATCCTTCTTCACCTTAGACGGTGAATTTTCAACCAACTCAACAAACCCCTCTTCCTCTAACAAGCAGTTGAATAATCGAAAAGGTTTAGGTCCCAATTGTTGCATTCTTCTATTAACACCACGGGATTATGGTCCGAAAGGGATTTTGATAACATTTTCTGAATCACATTAGGAAATTGATTTAGGAATGAACCACTGATAATAAACCGATCAAGCCTTACCCAAGTAGGAGACTCTCTATTGTTGCACCAAGTATGCTTGAGTTTAGTTTATAATGTTTGAAATGTTTAATCATTGTTTTCTTTTTGCTGTTGTGAAGCTGGTTTTTACTTCATTCAACAGTGATGATGAAGATTACCAAGGTTATGAATATAGCCTGTTTGGCCAACTTTCTGAAGTACGCGTTGTTTACTTGAATCGCTTTGTGCAGGAGGTAATGTAACTCTTAATTCTTAGCAATTACTTAGTGCAGTTTCTGTTATCTCATGTATTTCAAATTTGATAATGTAGGTTATTAGTTACTTTATGGGTCTTGTTCCCAACGATTCAAAAAGTGTAGTCAAATTTAAAGATCAAGTTTCAAACTCGGAGAAGTGGTTCACCACTAGTGAAATTGAAGGATCACCAGCTTTAAGGTTGGATATTTCACTAAGGAAACCTATAATTTTGATGCCTCGCAAGACAGACAGCCTCGAGTACGTTGAGTCTGGAATACAGCTTTACTCAAGTTTACTTTGTTTTCTGCCTATGTGTGCTATCTTTATTTTTGTCATTGATCATGACATGTTAAAATTAACTTGGCAGTTATCTGAAGCTTGATGTCGTTCATATTACGGTTCAGAATACCTTCCAATGGTTATGTGGCACTAAAAGTGACTTGAATGCTGTCCATTTTGATATAATGACAATCAAGGTGAGGATCGTGACTGGAATTTACATGATAGGCCAACTTGGTAGATTTAAGAAATTGGAATAAAAGTGTCACAGAAACATTTATTGTGTCTCCCTTTAACTTGGATATCATGAACTCTTCTTAAAGCTATCATTTGTTTGAGGCTTTTCTTTGTACTTTATTTGACTTACTCCAACAATGTTCAACATTTCCTTGGAAGTTGTGTATTTTTTTTTTACAGATTATTGTATAAAAAGGATAATCAATCAATTATCTATTGCTAATTTTGATGGGTAATGATACATGTTGCACCAATTTTGTCCAAATATTCCCTTCTAGACTGGGATTAATTTGTTTAATAAGTTCAAGGTTGGCCTATGAATTTTGTAAATAAGATGTTTCTAGATGCACCAATTAATTATCACCACATCACATGGGACCAATTTGATTTGATCAATGATTTAATTCAACTATTAACCTGGCTAACTTCGTCTTTCTTATGCATTTTTTTACTCTGTTTTTCCTAATGGGATGCAGATTGAGGATATCAATTTAAATGTTGGTACTGAATCAGTTTTAAGTGAAAGTATTATTAAGGATGTCAAAGGGGTTTCTATTGTCATCCGGAGGTCTCTTCGAGACTTAATGCATCAAGTACCAAGTATTGAAGCTGCCATCAAGGTAACACACCGTGTGTTTATGTGCTGGTACAGCAACCAAAATGCTTTGTTGTCTTCTTGACGTTTATATGATGAGAAGAGTTTTATGTTTCTTTGACATGATTTTCAGATAGAGGAACTGAAAGCAGAGTTGACGAACAGGGAGTACATGATTATTACTGAGTGTGCATTGTCTAATATATCTGAGACTCCGCATATTGTGCCACCATTAAGCAGTGATTTTCTGAAATCATCATTGGACGCTGTAGAAGATGTTATTCCTGAAAGTGGTGTTGAGCCTAGGACTCCAAATGGTGAAACTTGGACTGTCATGAAGGTCTCAGTTGTCATCAATCTTGTTGAAATGGGCTTATATGTTGGGGAAGAATGGCGTTCACCTCTGGCCACTGTGCAGGTAAGTTTCAATTTTCTACATTTTTTTGTTACAGTCTGTAGTTCTATCATTTCATTTGTTCTTTCTGATGAATGTTGAGTTTTAAAGCTTTCAAAGTGAATAAGACATCTGGCTTTTGAGTTAATTGTTCATGCTATAGTAAATTGTTTGCACGTCCTGGTTGTTTTTTCCTCTTTGTCATGCAGGCAAGTGATGCCTGGCTTCTCTACATGTCTAATACTTTAGACGAAGGTATTCTATCAGCAAGTCTTAAGGGTTTCACTGTGATTGATAACCGTGTGGGAACCAGAGAAGAGTTTAAGTTGGCAATAGCAATGCCAAAGAACCCTCTATTTTCTGTTGCTGATACCAATGACCAGAACATATCCAATGCAAACAATACAAAAGAGAATTATATCAAACCACGTCCTACGATGCTTCTTGTTGATGCGAAATTTAGTAAATTGTCAACATCTGTTTCCGTTTGTATCCAGAAGCCTCAGTTGCTTGTAGCACTTGATTTTCTGCTGGCACTTGTCGAGTTCTTTGTTCCAACAGTTGGCACCATGATGACAAATGAAGAAGATAAGAAGTCCTTGCATATGGCAGATGCTATTATTCTAGATAAACCAACATACGCACAGCCATCTGCTCAGTTCTCACTCTCTCCTTTGAAACCTTTAGTTGCTGATGATGAAAAGTTCGATCATTTTATTTATGATGGTAATGGTGGGTATTGCATTTAAAAGATAGGGAAGGAGTTGATCTTGCTGCACCTAGTAATGAGGCTTTGATATATGTGGGAAATGGGAAAAAGTTGCAATTTAAGAATGTTCTTATCAAGGTATATGTTTGAACACATCTTTTTTTGTTTGTCGTAATGAATGAACATCTTTTCTGAGAATGGACTAATCCTTAACTACCATTATCTTGGTGCAGAATGGGCATTATTTAGATTCATGTATTTCCCTGGGAACCAACAGTGGCTACTGTGCTTCGAAGGATGATCTGGTCTACTTAGAGGGAGGAGAGGAAGATCTTGAAGTGGATACTTCAAGGGAAATTGCTAATCACATCACACCTCAAAATGCCGTTGTTGACAGATCTGCAGAGTTTATCATTGAGTTTCAGGTTGGTTGGTTGGTTGTTTCTTTCCCTTTTTGTTTATTTATATTTTGGATTTCCATTTGTGTTTTATAGTTTGTTCATAAAGCTAGCTAGTTATCAAGGTGTGTTTTGGTCAATGATTTGCCGGAAACCGAAAGGATATTCCTGTTTTCAGTTGGTTGGTAGAAAAGCCACTAGATTTCACTTTATTTTAGTGGCAAGGATGAAGTGGGTTTTGGATAGAGATCCTAGGCTTTCGAGGTATGGTGCCCTCTTTATCCGCCAAAAGGGTGTGGTTGAAACCATATGTGGTATGGTTCTTGGCATATTTCTTGGTGCTTCCGTTAACGTTTCAAAAGTTACCAAATCAACATGTTGCAATCTTTGAGCCGCCAGGCTTGTGTATAGAGAACTTTATTGGTTTCAATGTGATAAATCCGAGTACTATTCAGAGATGAAGCTAAGGGGGCCAAGCAGGTGTCCTGGCTTCTCCCCTTAAATATAAGGTCTTCATTTATGTTTCATATGTATTTGAAAGAAAGGTAAAATTGCAGTCACCACCACCACCCCCCCCCAAAAAAAAAGTTTCATAACTTTTTGGATTACTATGCTATCTTGACTAGATTATATATACTCATAAGACTTATCTTTCTAATCATAAAAGACACCTGAAAATTAATTGATCTACCGTTGGTGGGAGGAAGGTATACTTGGTGCAATAATAGAGAAGACTCGACTTGGGAAAGACTAGACAGGTTCTTAATCTCTGGGACGTTTCTGTCATGTTTTCCAAATGTAGTGCAAAGTCTCTTGCCTAAATCCCTATCTGATCATAATCCTGTCTCATTAGAGGACAAAGCTGTTAATTGGGGACCGAAACCATTCAGGTTTTTTAATTATTTACTAGAGGAGGAAGGATTTGAGGAATTGGTTAAATCTCAATGCTTGCTATGAGGGGGAGAAATAATAAAAGGGTATTTCAGTATCTTAAAAGGTACTAAAAATTCAATCAGAAATTGGTCCAGCAGTAAATTTACTGGGATCCCTGAGTCGATTTCTGATTTAGAGAGGAAAATTAATGAATTGGATCTTATAGCTCAAGGTGGAATTCTTTCGAAGCAGGAGTGGGATCAGTTGAGGCTGTGTAGGACAAATCTATGGAGGTTGTATAGGACAGAAGAAAGCATCTGGTTTCAGAAGTCAAGGGCAAGATGGATCAAGGAGGGGGATAGGAACACAAGGTTTTTTCATCTGTCTGCTCTGAACAGAAGCAAAAGAAATGAAATCTTAAGCTTGAAGATAATGGAGTGTGGTTTCAGATCCTCAACAATTAAAGGTACATATTTCAGAATTTTTCAAGGCAGCCTATAATTCCAATTCAACATTGGAAACGGAGGATTTACTACTGGATTTTGCTAAGCTATCAGGGGATCAGTCTAAGAAGCTTGAAGAGCACTTCTTAGAACAGGAAATTTGGCAAGCTATAGTCTCATCAGACAGCTCTAAAGCTCCAGGACCAGATGGTTTCACCATGGGTTTCTTTAAAAACTGCTGGCCGATTTTAAAGGAGCACGTGTTGAAATTTTTTGAAGATTCTATTTTGGAAGGAAATGGGAGCACGGTAAAACCATGCTTTTATCACACTTATTCCGAAGAAGCTTAATCCGGACAGTGTAGAGGAATTTAGACCAATCAGCCTTGTAGGCAGCTTACAAGATACTTTCTAAAGTTCTTTCGAAGAGACTGAGTTGTTGTGTTGGTGATATTATTAGTCACTCTCAGTTTGCGTTTATACCAGGGAGACAGTTGCTGGATTGTGCTTTTATAGCAAACGAAGGGATTGATTACTGGAGGAAAAAAGGGTTAAAAGGGGTTGCCTTCAAAGTAGATTTTCGTAGGGCTTATGATTCCGTGGAATGGCCAATTTTAATTAGAATAATGTCAGAGATGGGTTTTGGTAAGAGATGGTTGTCGTGGATATCTCAGTGTATTTCACAGCTTCAATCTCAGTTCTCGTAAACGGGTCTCCATCGGAAGAGTTCCACATGGCCAAAGGACTTAGGCAAGGGTGCAGTTTATCTCCGCTACTGTTTAACATTGTAGGTGAGCTGCTTAATTTGATGATATCTAAAGCAGTGGACAGGGGTCTGTTTCAAGGCTTTGTTATTGGGGAATCTGAAAATTCTGTTCGATTGACACATCTACAATTTGCAGATGACTTGATCATCTTCTGTCAAGCATCTCTCTCCCAGATTAAAAATGTCAAGAGAGTATTGAGGATTTTTAGTGTTATGACAGGGTTGCATCTTAATCTAGCTAAGAGTAAGCTATTTGGTATTAATGTGGAAGAGGAAGTTTTATCAGAATGGGCATCTTCGGTGGGCTGCTCTATTGATTCTCTTCCAACAGATTACTTGGGACTTCCTCTAGGTGCTAAGAAAAACTCAGAAGCCTTATGGGATCCAGTTTTCAAGAATTTTAGTTCCAAACTAGCCGGCTGGAAAGCTAATTGTCTCTCATTGGCGGGCAGGACAGTTTTATTAAAGTCGGTGTTAACATCCCTACCAATATTCTTCTTATCTCTTTTTAGAATGCCTTGTAAAATTGGTAAGAAGCTTAATTCTTTAATGGCCAGTTTCCTATGGGGGGATAATGAGGACAAAAGGAAGATACACTGGGTTAATTGGAAATCAGTCTGCACGCCTCTAAATTGTGGTGGCCTTGGTGTTCTTGATGTGAACATATCTAATCGGGCTCTTTTGGGAAAATGGGTGTGGAAGTTCGCCAATGAAAAAATACTTTGTGGAAAAGTGTGTTATGTTGCAGGCACAAGGTAAGTAGTAATTCCATGTCTATTTGTAAGGTTTTTTCGCCCAAATCTTCTTGGATTTGGAGAGGGATTGCCAACAATTTCTTGAAGAACGACTCGGAGGGTGAACGTATCAGATCTAACTCCAAGTTGAAACTGGGAAATGGAAAGTCTATTGCATTTTGGACGGATTCATGGGCTGATGAGTCTCCTTTAAAATATCTTTTCCCTAGATGTATGCGTTGTCAACAAATAAATGGGGTATGGTCGCTGAGTTTGGAAGTTCAGATTCGAACGGTTGGGTGTGGAACATCGATACCAGAAGGAATTTGTGTGACTGGGAGTTGGATCAGTGGCTGGATTTAATGACAAAACTGAAGGACTTTAAACTGACTGATTCAGTTGAAGACTTTCTTTCTTGGTCTGCAAGTGGGATGGACTGTTTTCAGTGAAATCTTGTAGAAAGGAACTCGGCAAGGTGTCTGGGGAGTCCGATTTATGGGTAAAAGGGGTGTGGCAGGGTTTATCTCCTCCTCGTGTTGAAGTCTTCCTGTGGCAGCTAGCTCATCAGAAAGTGGCAGTGAGAGAGGAGTTGGTGAAAAGAGGTTTGCAGCTAGGGGATGAAATTTTATGTCCGTTTTGTAAAAAACAGGTGGAATCAGTTCAGCATTTATTTATTTCATGTGATGTTGTTTGGGAACTTTGGAACAAGATAGCAAGCTATTGGGAAATAGCCTTAGTCCTTCCAAAGGATCCACCTTCTTTGCTATGTTCTTGGGGTGAGCTGAGGGGGGAAATCGTTGATTTGGAAATTTATCCCGGGAGTAGTATTTTGGTCGATATGGAAAGCTAGGAATGCAATGGTGTTCGATGGTTCCCCCTTGGATAGGATGTCTCTGTTTTATTGCTAGATTCAGGTTATCTAAATGGTTTCTAGCCAAGTATCCTAAGTGTCCTATTCAGGAGGATGTGCTGATTGGTGATCCATCTCTTGCAGATGGTATTAAAGCTCTCAACATTTACAATTTTCAGGTTTCTCGCTGGATTCCACCCCCTATGGATTTTTTGAAGATGAATGTCGATGGAGCTGTTAGACTTGATGGCTCAAATGGAGGTATAGGAGGTATTTTGAGAGATTGGAATAGCAACTCCCTTCTGACTTTTTCAGAAAATGTAGGTCAGGGTCCCCCGCCGTTGCTGAGTTAAAGGCTATTAAGAGAGGCATTGAAATCTATATGTCTTCTTGTTGGGTTAAGGTTGGAAGGTTGATTGTGGAAAGTGACTGTAAGTCGGCTGTGGAATGGGTCCATACACCAGCTATGGCCCCAGTTTTTATCCTCCCATTAGTTAAAGAGATTTCATCTTTTATCACGGACAGGGTGCACTCTATTAGACTGATTCCAAGGGTGTGTAATGGGGAGGCTGATAGTTTAGCAAAGATGGGAATTGGTTGATGTTTAGTCGTTTCCAGTGCGTTTTATCGTTTGAGTTTAGGTTTTCGGTTATGTTGAGTAGCTTAGTCTGTTGTGTTTTTTCAGTATGGTGTCTACGTTAAATCTTATGTAATTTCGGAGGAGTAATAAAGTTTCTAAGGCACTCTTTTCCTCCTTCTTTGATCAAGAAGGAGGTTTTTAAGGAGGCCTGTCATTCTTATCAAAAAAAAAAAAGACACCTGAAAAAATGAGATGACGACGACTAACATGGCCGCTTCTGGCATAATGATACCATGATGTTGGTTGCAACTATTGCAAAGCATGACTGAATGTGTGTATCTTGCTATTGTTTATGATTGACTATGAATCATCTTCATTGTCGAAGTCTAAATGCTGACTTGCGTTTGTGTACTGTAATTGATGTCAAGGCTTCCAATGAAGTGATCATATGTTATTGTTCCCCCTGCTCACATATGCTTCACATGTTATATTCTGAATGTGACATGATTGCTATCAGTTATGATTGATTTAAAGTGACATTTAATCTCTATGACATTAAAATTTCGATAGGTGCCCATGAATAATTTTACCTTGTGCAGGCAATTGGTCCAGAACTGACCTTTTATAATGCATCAAAAGATGTGGGAGAATCTTCAGTCTTGTCTAACAAACTTTTGCATACCCAGTTGGATGCTTTTGGAAGGTGGTTCTTTTTTACTTTTCTCATCTTCAATCACAAGCCTTATGTTTATTTCTTCTCAATGCTCAATGCAGACTCTACTTCATTCTCTCTATAGATTTGTTTATATTCTAAAGTCTGAACTATAGTGCATATTCAATGTTCATATTTGATAACCATTTTTTTCAATATAAATTGTGTTAAATCCCTTTATTCTCAGAATAATAGCATGATCATTGTATGATTTTTGGTGTATAAAATTTGTAGCTGGTATAATTTTCATGATCAAATGGTGGTTGAAATTTGAATGCTTGTAAGCACTTCTTAAAGTGTTCAGACATCAAAATAGAATTTTTAGTTTCCTTCGATATCAAATGTAGAGCAAGAGTAATGTGGCCTAGGAATGAAGCTTTAACTTGTAATGAACTCTTGACAATATGACAGTAGATATTCTGATACCACATACTTCTGCAGGCTTATTCTGAAAGGTGATACTGTTGAGATGACTTCAAATGCTCTTGGCTTGACAATGGAGAGTAATGGAGTCAGAATTTTGGAGCCTTTTGACACCTCCATTAAGTATTCTAATGCATCTGGAAAGACAAATATTCATTTATCTGTTTCAGACATATTCATGAATTTTTCATTCAGCATCCTTAGACTGTTTTTAGCTGTTGAAGAAGATATTTTGGCCTTTCTAAGGAGAACGTCAAGGGAAATGACTGTCTGTTGTTCCCAGTTCGACAGAGTTGGAACATTAGAAGTATGCCCATTTCTTTTTCTCTTCTTAAATCCAATGTTGAACGAACTGAATTTGTTTGAAGTTTCACATGGTGACTTATTGCCTTAGCGTGCTTTACAGATCCCAACAATGACCAGATATATGCCTTTTGGAGAGCTCGTGCACCTGTTGGCTTTGCTGTTCTTGGCGACTATTTGACACCATTGTCGGTGGACTCTTAACTATGCCTTTTTTTAAAGTTATTGTACTTCTCTTTGTACTTTGATACTGATGGGCTTCACATGACAGGGACAAACCACCTACAAAAGGAGTTCTTGCTGTAAACACCAACTATGTGCCAGTCAAGAGACCCACATCCTTTAAACAAATTTGGCCGCCTTTAGATTCTGGAGGCATCTCTGATGAATTTGAACTCGATTCCAAAACATTGTCAAATGGGGTGCTTGGTGAGGGAGAAATCTGCTGTTCTGTTTGGTTCCCTGAAGCACCTGAAGGTTATGTTGCATTAGGTTTGTGGTTTCCCCTGGGAAGTTGCAACCACCACCATCTTCAATTTTCTGCATCTTGAATTCTTGTTTCTCCTTGTTCACTCAGGGACTGCATTACCACCAGTGATACCAGTTGGTATGTTTAATAATAAATCTTCTTTCTATCATGAATTCAGTTACCTGTATATCCTAATGGGCACATGTTTTTTATTTATTTTTGATGGATTGCTAGTACTGTTATGTTAACAAATTTCCTAATGAAGTTACTTCCAATATGCTACTTGTGTATTGCGAATATCCATGCAGTCTGGCATTTTGGCGCGTGGATAATTCTCTTGGGACCTTCTTGCCAGCAGAACCAACGAATCTTAGTTTGCTAGCTAGACCATATGAATTACGCCATGTAATTATTATGTCTCCTGAAGTATACCCAAAAGCATCTAGAAGTTCAGATATCCAAACTGCTGTATCTGGTCGCATCAGCAATCAACAGTCAGATCATTCAATTGTTGTAAATTCTGGTCGGCGGTTTGAAGCTGTTGCTAGTTTTAGGTTGGTGTGGTGGAATAGAAATTCAAGCTCAAGGAAGAACTATCCATATGGCGTCCATTGGTTCCCCAAGGAATGGTGTATTTTGGCGATATTGCTGTTCAAGGGTTCGTGATATTTAATAATGGATTGATTTTGGATGTGTTGTATAATTTATAAACATTGATGATTGCTAATTTTTTGTGTGTCAGGTACGAGCCTCCAAATACATGCATTGTTCTTCATGATGCTGAAGATGAAGATCTTTTCAAAGCACCTTCAGGCTTCCAGCCAGTTGGACAGATAAAGAAACAGAGAGGAATGGAGAGTGTCTCTTTTTGGTTGCCTCAAGCCCCTCCAGGTTATGTTTCGTTAGGTTGTATTGCATCTAAGGGGACACCAAAGCAACAAGATTTTTGCACATTAAGATGCATGCGGAGTGATATGGTAACTGGTGATCAATTTTTGGAAGAAAGTGTTTTGGACCCAACAGATGCCAAGTTTGGCACAGTACCATTTAGCATCTGGGTTGTTGCTAATGACTTGGGGACTTTTTTTGTCCGTGCTGGATCCAGAAAACCTCCAAGAAGGTTTGCTCTAAAGCTAGCAGATCCATATTTGCACAGTGGTTCAGATGATACTGTCATTGATGCTGAAATAAGGACCTTTTCTGCTGCCCTTTTTGATGACTATGGTGGCCTGGTAGGTTATTTTATTTGAAGTTCCTCTATGGTAGCTTGGTGATCTATGGTTCTTTTTAGCTCTGAAAATGTTTAAGCCCAAACCCTTCCAGTTTCCAATAAATAAGTTTCTCACGTTGTAATTGGACTTGCCAAAGTATTAACCACCACTATCTGTGATAAATTTACTTCTGGTTTAATTCAAACGGTTATATACGTGACATGATGCAGGTGGTTCCATTGTTCAATATATCATTGAGTGGAATCGCATTCAGTTTACATGGAAGACCTGAGTACTCAAATACTACTGTTAGCTTCTCTTTGGCTGCCAGGTCATATAATGATAAATACGAATCATGGGAACCGATTGTCGAGCCAATGGATGGGTTTTTAAGGTAATTTTTCTTATGATGCATCTAGTGATCTAACCAAATGTAATACCACAGTTAGCATCACTCGGCTGTCTGGCATGTTTAGTTAACTTATCCAAAAAATATAGTTTTTGGACTGTGTTTTAGCTCTCTTGTGGTGAATAAGATATAAGTGATAGTCCATTCTAGATTCTGTAAGTTCATTCTATTAAATTTTGAGTTTTCTAGCTTGATCTCCTTTGCTCCAATCATAAAAGGCTTCTAAACAACAAATGAGACTTTTTTTTTTTGATAGGAATAGGAGGTCTCATTAAAAACCTCCCTCTTAGTGGATCTTATCCGTAAGGTAAGGCCCAACTAGCGGAAGGAGGAAAAGTACCTCAATTTATTAATGAAAGCCAAGTTACATAAGACTTAAAAACACTTTTACATACAACATGAGTCTAATAAATGAGACTTCTACACGGCTGATTCTGACAATAAGTAACTGCCAGCAAATAAGAGCTCCAATACGTCATGAGTCTAATAAATGGTTCGCTTCCCACTGGAGCGAACTGGATAGCTTTCATTGATAATATGAGTTCTTTAACCACCATGGTAAGGTCATTAAGGTTTTCATCCCCTTGTCAACAAGAGACCCAAATACAGGGATGTAACTATTGCTTTCATTTTTTTTGCGAGATAGAAAGATCTGCTCTACCTTGTTGACCAGGCAAACAATGCCTTGATCTATGGGAAGAGAATTTCGGCAGGGGTAGCAAAGTATCAAAAGGGCTTTTTTTTTTTTATAAAAAAGGCCTCATTAAAAACCCCCTTCATACCCTACATGTTATAATATAAACATAACATGAAGGGCATAGGAAGAAGGAAAAGAGTGTCTCTAACTTTTATTAACGAGAACCATAATACACCTCCACACCTACATGACTAACTACTAACAATATAACCTTTAAGCCACAACTGTGGATACATAACGCACCCTAACAACTCCCTTAAAAAACAGCCAAGATATAACACCTCTAACCACAATAGAAACCCAAAAATCAACCTATACCAGCTTTTGCTAATTCATCCGCTTCCCAATTTGCAGCTCTCGGAATATGCCTTGTAATAATACCCTTCATTTCCACACGAGTAGCTATATCCGTCACCAATGATTTTTTTTATAGGAATAGGAAGCCTCGTTAAAAACCTCCCTCATAGTTGACCCTTTCCTAACAGAAAGGATCAAGTAGTGGAGGGAGGAAAAGAGTGCCTCATTTTTACCAAACCGGAATTACATAAGACTTAACAATACAACAGATGATTTTACATTAGACTTAACAACTTCAACTACTTCAAGAACCTACAGCCATAGAAAAATAAACTATAACTAAAACATACAATCAACCGATCCCCTGCTTTGCTAAACTATCTGCCTCCCCATTACAAAACCTTGGAATTAACCTAATTAAAACCACCTTTTCAGAAAGGATCAACAAAATTTCTTTAACAAGAGGCAACATGAAAACTGGTGCCAAAGACGGGGTGTGAATCCACTCCACTGCTGACTTACAATCACTCTCAACAACCAATCTACTGGCAGCAGAACAACTTGAAGCTAGAAAAATTTCGATGCCTCTTTTAATAGCCTTTAACTCTGCAACTGGTGGGGGACCTTGACCAATATTCTCTGAAAAAGTCAAAAGAGTGCAGCAATTCCAGTCCCTTAAAATGCCTCCAATACCTCCAATCGAGTCATTTAACCTCACAGCTCCATCAACATTCATCTTTAAGAAATCAACAGGTGGAGGAAGCCAACCAATAACAGAATGATCCTTAGGTTTAGGAACAGAAATACCATCAGCAAGTGATGGATCCCCAATTAGCAGATCTTCCTGAATAGGGAATTTAGGATACTTGGCTAGGAACCATTTAGATAACCTAAATCTCACAAGGAAAAAGAGAGACAGCCTATCAAGGTTTAAACCTTCAAACACAATCGCATTCCTTGCTTTCCAAATAGACCAAAAAAATGACTCCCGGGATAAACTTCCAAATCAATGAATTCAACCTCAAACTCTCCCACAAATTAAGTAAGGAAGGAGGGTCCTGTGGTAGCACAATAGACAAGTCCCAGAAGCTTGCCAGTTTATTCCATAGTTCCCAAACTACAAAACACGAAATGAATAAGTGTTGCACAGATTCCTCATGTTCCATGCAGAAAGGACAGAGAATATCTTCTTCTAAGGACATTCCTCTTTTCACTAACTCCATTTTAACTGCAACTTTCTGGTAAGCTAACTGCCATAGGAAAGCTTCTACACGAGGCGGAGACAAACCCAACCACACCCCTTTTGATCACAAATCAATACCCCCAACTTCCTTACCAAGAGCTTTCCTGCACGATTTTACTGAGAATAACCCATCACCACTTGCAGACCAAGAGAGAAAATCTTCAACCGAATCAGTGAGTTTTATTTCCTTTAATTTCATCATCAAATCCAACCATTGTTCCAATTTCCAATCAGACAAATTCCTCCTAGTAATAATGTTCCACTGCCAACCATTCAACTCAAAGCTTCCAAAATCAACAACCTTACCCTATTTGTTAGTAGAGAGTGCAAAAATTCTAGGGAAAAGAATTTTTAAAGGAACCTCATCCACCCATGGATCAGTCCAAAAAGATATGGACTTACCATTGCCTACTTGCAACTTCAAAAATGATCTAAGACACTCACCCGCCGAATCATTCTTCAAAAAATTATTAGCAATACTTCTCAAATTCCAAGAAGATTTTGGAGAAATGACCTTACTAATAGACATAGTATTACTACTAATATTTTGCTTACTACATAACACTCTTTTCCATATGGATTCCTTTTCATTTGCGAACTTCCACACCCATTTCCCCAATAATGCCCGATTAGAAACATTCAAGTCAAGAACCCCAAGCCACCACTGTTCATTGGTTTGCAAACTGTACCCCAACTAACCCAGTGGATCTTCCTTTTATCCGCACTGTCACCCCATAAAAATCTGGCCTTTAAGGAGTTTAATTTATTCCCAACTTTGTAAGGCATTTTAAAGAAAGATATTAGAGCATTAGTCGAATCTGATTCCAAAATAATCCTCTGGCTTGGACTGTAACCAACTTCCTCAGTAAGAATCAACCCTCTTTTGATCGCCAAAAGCTCTGCAAGTAAAGGAGGACCTCCCCCTACCTTCTTTGAAAACGACCCAAGCACCGAACCACTCCCATCCCTAATCAATCCACCAATTCCCCCCTTATCCCAACCTTTGACCATTGCACCATCAACATTTACTTTTAAAAAACCTTCCAGAGGAGGACTCCAACTAGAAGGAGGAGAAGTCCTCTTATTCAAATTACCATTACAGTCTGCTAATTTTAAGTCCCCCATCAAGGAATCGAAAGGAATATGGACATCCTTAAATGAAGTTCCAAACCACGAAACAATTCTGAAGCTTGTAATGAAGAACAACAACGCAGAATCAACCTTCCCTTGCTAAAAAATCACCTCATTCCTACATTTCCAAACCGACCACAACACAACCCTAGGGATAAACTTCCATATGAAAGATCTTGGAACTAACTCATCCCACACAATTAAGAATTCCATCAACTTAGCCGGAACCACAAAGCAAACATTCCAGTACTTTAAGAACTTAACCCACAGGTCCCACACCACATCACAGTGCAGAAACAAATGTGAGACCGACTCATTACACTTCCTGCACAAAGAGCACACAGTGTCTTCCACCCCAGTAACTCCTCTCTTTAGCAGTTCCTCCTTCACCACTACTCTGTGATGAGCAAGTTGCCAAACAAAGGTTTCCACTCGTGGTGGAGCTACCCCCTTCCAAACATATCTTTCCCAATTACCTTCTACTTCATCATTACCCTCTCTATCACACCACATCACAGTGCAGAAACAAATGTGAGACCGACTCATTACACTTCCTGCACAAAGAGCACACAGTGTCTTCCACCCCAGTAACTCCTCTCTTTAGCAGTTCCTCCTTCACCACTACTCTGTGATGAGCAAGTTGCCAAACAAAGGTTTCCACTCGTGGTGGAGCTACCCCCTTCCAAACATATCTTTCCCAATTACCTTCTACTTCATCATTACCCTCTCTATCAAAATACAATTGCATGCATGATTTTGCTGTAAAACAGCCTTCACCAGTTCCCAACCAAACCCAACAGTCCTCCTCAACTAATGATAATGAGTAACTGTTCAAGAGAGAGATAAGCTGCAGCCACTGTTCAACCTCCCAATCCACCAGATTCCTTCTTGTCTGAATATCCCAGACCCCACCCAAATCATTATACAGCCTGAACTCTGCAACCTTCCCCCCTTTGTTGTTCGACAGAGCAAATAACCTTCGAAACCTATCTTTCAGAGGAACCGTACCCAACCATACATCATGCCAAAACTACACTGATTCTCCATTCCCAGCTCTAACACACAAACTTTTCCTAAAACAATCCCCAAATGCATCACTTGAAAAGAATTTCTTTACAACTCCTCTCCAAATCCAAGAAGTACGTGTTGTCCAAGTATTCCGGATCATCATTGAATTTGGATCCATATTGTTTACACAACAGACCACTGTTTTCCACCAAGAGGATTTTTCTGCAGCAAATTTCCACACTTCCCCATAAGAGCCCTGTTTAAAAGCAATAGATTTGGAATTCCCAAACCCCCCAACTTCTTTGGCTTACACACCAATTCCCATTTAACCCAATGGATCTTTTTTTCTGTCAATCCCCCCCAAAGAAAAGACGCCATGATAGAATTTAATTTATTGAGAACACTAATAGGGATCCTAAAAATAGAAAGGTAATAAATTGGAAGAGAGCACAACACTGATTTAACCAAAACTTCCCGTCCAGCCAAAGATAAAGACTTTGCCTTCCACCCAGGCAAACTATTATAAAATTTTTGTACCACCGATTCCCACAAAGAAAAAGAATTCCTCTTAGCCCCTAACGGTAGACCTAAATACTCCGATGGAAAAGC